GTCATATAATTAGTCCTGTTGTGTGCTTCCTTTGGCGTTTAAGAAAATCTCCCATGAAAGTTCTAACTGCTCAAAATCATAATGAATTTGGGGATTTCACTACCCTTCCCCCAGCCATCTTTTATTTAAAACAATAAAAACTCCGAGCTCCTGACATCTTGATGACAAAGGCTTGATGGGCAACAAGAACAGGATCTTTAGTTTTCATTTGATATGTCTGTTTCTCCTTGGTTAAGGGAGGGTGGGGTATGTTGGAATATTTATGCGGAGCATTTAGATGAGGCTCTTCATTTGAAAGAATGTGAGAATTAATGCTTGAGTTTAATCGGAGCCTGAATCATCACAGATAGATTTGTACCCTCTTCTCCTTAATCAATTTCACCCTAATTAATTCTTTCTGTGGCTCAGTCTTGTTACATTAGATAGTCTGCTGATTATTTCCACAATCAAGAGATTGTGTATTCATGCATTTTTAATAAGGGATGACTGCATCCTTTTTCATAAATGATCCTGCTGGTTGGCAGTTGCAGCAGCTAAAATAATTATAGAGCAGATTACTTATTTTAAAGCATTGTTTGCTGTCATATTCATCTTAGGTGACAATTTGGAAGAGCTCTGTAGGCTGCTGTAATCGGGCAGAGAAGCTGGATATTTAATGTGGCAATTTTCAATGTCAAGTGCTGTTTATCCATAGGTCAATGCCTTTACAAAAATAATAAACACAGGGGTAATTTGGTCCTGCTGGCTGATGAAACCATTCTAATTCTGTGCTTAGTTTAAAACTTTGACTCTTAGAAGGACCTACTTCTGAAGACTACCAGGCACCTTTTACCTTCAACCATGACTGATCCAAATATGGTTGCTCATGTCTGGTTATGACTTACGTGAAGGGGTAGTCTTGTATCAGACCCTGCAATCTAGAAGGCTTGAAGCAGGGAACACTGTAATTTGAAAGCCTTAGGTGTTTTCTGTTTAGCAAGATGACAAAGGGAAATCCACATGAGGGAAAAGACTGCTTTTTATTTTGGAAAATACACTGAACTTCTTGATCATGCAAAGGAAAGCTTGGTGCTTTTCTAGAGTGGACAGGTTGAGACAAGAGGAGAGCAATGGCTGCGCATACTAATACAGAAAGCTGTCCTCCCCGTGGGCAGACAGAGCCGCCACTCAGGGCAGAATTTATTCCAGGGGTCACGTGGTAGAGGAGAGGCTTTCCTCTTCTCTGAGGGAAAACAGAGTTGGGGCATGACCTCCAGGCAGAGGAGATCTGGCCAAGGGCCCTCCTGCCTGTGAGAACTGAGTTAACCCTGCAGGCTGATGGTGGCCTAAGGCATTTGGGGCCAGGGGTGGTGGTGGTTAGAGGTGGTGGGGGGTGGGGACATGCAGGGCACCCCAGGTCATGGGTCAGTGGACTCCAGGAGAGTCTGTAGACAATCTTCAACTTCATTGTTTTTCTTCTGTAATTTTAATTCTCTTTTGTCAACCTCAAGCCTTCAGCAGTTTTCTTAACCTTACAACCTTAAGAAAAATAACAGAAGAGCCTGTGTCTACATTTGTCACAAAGGTGGGGCTAGAGAATGTGATTTTCCTTTTGATCCCCTCCTTAAAGGCTGTTCAAGAAGGCTTGGTGGTCCCAGAACCCACATCAGGGGCCTCAGATTGGCCGAGGAAGGTGGAGGTTCATAGGATCCAGGGGACAATAGAGGCTCAGGTTGAGGCCTTGCTCAGGTGGCAGGTGCAGAAGTGGGAAGGGACAGACCTCCTTCCCTGTATCCTGGAGAGAGAGACCTTCAAAAGGAGAAAGTACAGCTTGCAAATTACCTGGCACGGGTTGTTGGCTAGCAGCCATCTGGGCTGCCCTTAATATATACTGCAATTGGCTAGAGTCTCAGAGGTTGTCCTGCCCTCCCTGCTCTCCACACCAGCTGTTCAGGGAAATTGCCAAACTGTAGCAACCTCCAGCTCATTTCCTAGGAACGCCACTGCCAGCTGCTCTGTGGAGCTCAGAGCCAGCAACTAGAGGTGTTACTGAACCTTAGGTCATAACTTCCACCCCTACTGCAGATGAGGAAACTGACCAATTCTGGGGCCATCACTATCTACAGTGAAATGATCAAAAGAGGTGAGCTGCCCCCATCCCAGGTCTCTCACTTCACTGGTAGGGAAACTGGGCTCAGAGGGGTAACATGACTTGTTCAAGGTTACTCTATTGATCAGGCACAGGTTTGTGGTTTGGGTCCCAGGTCCCCCAACCCCTAATCCAAAGCTCTTTCTAGATATCTCATTCTTCATGTGAATTTATTTCTCACTGGAGAAAAGCGGGTGGGCTCCAGACATCCAGCCAGCTGGCCCTTTACTGACCAGATCACCAAACACTTGTGTTGTCCTTCCGATCTCCAATGCTCCTTCAGGAGTCTTAAGGACACCTCCTTTGATCATTTCACTACAGATAGTACTGGCATTTTTCAGTTTCCTTACCTGTAATATGGAGATAATGATAAGAAAGGTGATCATTAATTGAGTTAATTCCATGTAAAGAACTCAGAACAGTGTGGGATACATAATAAGTGCTCAAAAAGAGGATGTATGTGAGCTCAACTCACTTCGTTATGCATGAAAGGCTGTGCCTGAAGGTGGCTGGAATCCAATGAGAGACAAATTTGAGTGAGGACAGTGCTCTGAGCCCAGCACTCATCGATCAGTTGGTGGTCCTAGAAGCTATTAATAGGAGAGGAATAGCAAGACCCTTATAGCTCCCAGTCACCTGCTTTGGTCAACCAACACACAGGGAATCCCAGCCCCAAGGCTGCGGATGCAGGAGGAGAGAGGGAGAGCAGAGGGTGATGCACTTAACACTTCCCTATCAAGCCCCCTTGAGCTCTAGGTTCAGTTCTGCAACTTCTGTCCTGCGTTTCATAACTGGGGAGCCTTAGTCAGTGTGCAGGACCCCAGAGAGGTAAAGGTTTGTGTGGAAATGGAAGAGGATAGAGGACCTCCATCTCCTCAGAGCAGTGGGAACCTCCAGGCTACATGCGGGGAACTTATCTTGTTTGTTTTCTCCTGTATTCTTTGTCCCCCTTCCTCTCCTTTCCTTCATTCTCTGCCTTCCTCTAATATTAAGTCCCTCACTCCTCGCATCCCAACCGTAGAGCTCACCACAGAAAATGAGTCAGACTGAAGTGAGGGGGCCAGTTGAGGAGATTCCCCTCACACCCCGGGGTGGGGGTCAAACCTGGTTTGACCCCTTCACCAGGGTGAGTAAATCCTTCAGATTGAGTGTGTAAAGTGGACTGGAAAACAAAGGAGATCTGCCAAGGAAGCCTGAAGCCCAGGGCTGTTGGCTAAGCTCTAGAACCCCTGTAGACAGACCAAAAAGCTAGCTAGGCTAGCTGTTAGTCCCAGCTCTGGTGGTGCTGGAGCACCTGTGAGGCAGGTCTCAACTCCGACCTTTGCTCTAAGCTCTCTCAGGCCCGGGTTGGGGGGCGGTGGGGAGGGGCGGGTTGCAGGTGCTTTTCAAGGGAGTCCAAAGATCCAGCTTGGCTGTGTGAGCTGAGGTGAGCCTTAGCCACTTTGAACTTCAGTGTCCTCATTTGTAAAATGAGGAAAATACCCACCTCCTGGCTCTGGCTGAGATAATGTATGCCAGTGTTCTGCGAACTGTGAAGTTCAATACTGAGGGTAGTTTTGAATATTTTCAATGATTAAAAAAAAGCATCATTATCTTTTTCAGCTCCTCTTCATACAGTGCATAGGCGCTCAATAAGTAATCGTGATGTTGTGATTTATAATAAAAAATATAGATTTTGTCTTCTTCCTTTTTTGGGCTAAGAACTCCTAAAATTCTTGAAATTTCCTAAGTTATTAGAGTGATAAAGGTGTCTTTTGTTATTCACAACAAACCTCTTTCAACCACTTTTGAGTTTATGCTAGTGTGGTGACTTTCAGAAAACTGGTAGGTGACCTAAGGATGGGGGCTAGTTGCCAGGGACACCAGTCATGATTTGAAGGCTTTCAGCTCCCCCTCCACCTCTAGGGAAGGTTAAAGTCAATCATCAATGATTTAATCAACTGTGCCTATATAATGAACTCTATGAGACCCAAAAATACAGGGTCCAGAGACTATTCAGGTTTGTGAACAGGTGAAGATTTAGGAGAATGGCATAGAGGCTCTGTACCCCTTTTCTGTATCTTGCCCTGTGTGTCTTTTCCATCTGTCTGTTTCTGGGTTACATCCTTTTATAATAAACCAATGATCTAGTATGTAAAATGTTTTCCTGAGTTCTGTGAGCCTCTCTAGCAAATGAAGCAAGCCTGAGGAGGGGGTTGTGGGAATTTATGATCTACATAGCTAGTCATTCAGAATCACAGTGACAACCTGGACTTGCAGCTGGTGTCTGAAGAGGGGATGGGGGACAATCTTGTTGGACTGAGCCCTTAACCCTTGGGATCTGATGCTTTTTCTAGGAAAATAGTTTCAGAATTCAATTACATTTTAGGACATCCTCCTGGTGTCACAGAATTGTTTTTATAATCTTATATGTGTATGTGTACATATATATATATTTGAAGCATAGTTAATTTATAAAGTTGTGTTAGTTTCAGGTATATGACACAGGAATTCAGTATTTTTTGTATATATATATATATGTATGTATTCTTTTTCAGATTCTTGTCCCTTATAGGAGTATACTTCCCGATGCTATGCAGTAGGTCCTTATTGGTTCTATTTTATATATAGTAGTGTGTATATGTTAATCCCAAACTCATAATTTATCCTTCTCCCCTCCTCCAGAATTGTTTGATGTGTGAAAAACCCACACATCTGGTGTCAGAAGTGTAACGGTGTTGTAGTGGAGTATTGAGAGTATAAGAGACATGCAGAAGGAATGCATGTTTTATTTTACACTGATGATGTCAGTTTTTTCTATATGAAGCTTGCATTGGTCAGCTTAGACAAAATTATGCTGCATAACAGGCAATCTCAGTCACACAGGGTTCTCACTCATCTTACTTGTTCATTATTTAACTCTGTTCCATGTCTTCTTCATTCTTAGACTTGGGCTGTGGAGGTAGGACCTCTCTGGGGCATGTTTACCTTCTGGGAGAGGAAAAGAACAGTGAGGAACTACTCAATGGCTTTCACAGCTTTTGGATATGATTTACATCACTTCCCATTGGGAAATGAAGTCACATTCAACTCTAACATTGGTGGAATAGGAAGTATACTCTTCATATAGGGAAGAGCATCAGGGAAGGGCAGTGTAGGGGTGGTAGCAAATATTCTTAAACAAATAATAATCTAACCATGAAGCAGCTTCATATTTTGAATATACTATAGCTTTAAATGGCTTCCCTGATGGCTCAGATGGTAAAGAATCCCAAGGAAAGGCAATGCCAAAGAATGCTCAAACTACCGCACAATTGAACACATCTCACACGCTGATAAAGTAATGCTCAAAATTCTCCAAGCCAGTCTCCAGCAATACGTGAACCGTGAAATTACAGATGTTCAAGCTGATTTTAGAAATGGCAGAGGAACCAGAGATCAAATTGCCAACATCCGCTGGATCATCAAAAAAGCAAGAGTGTTCCAGAAAAACATCTATTTCTGTTTTATTGACTATAACAAAGCCTTTGACTATATGGATCACAATAAACTGTGGAAAATTATGAAAGAGATGGGAATACCAGACCACCTGACCTGCCTCTTGAGNAAAGAAAGCTGAGCACCAAAGAATTGATGCTTTTGAACTGTGGTGTTGGAGAAGACTCTTGAGAGTCCCTTGGACTGAAAAGATCCAACCAGTCCATCCTAAAGGAGATCAGTCCTGAGTGTTCATTGGAAGGACTGATCTTGAAGCTGGAACTCCAATACTTTGGCCACCTGATGCAAAGAACTGACTCATTTGAAAAGACCCTGATGCTGGGAAAGATTGAGGGCAGGAGGAGAAGGGGATGACAGAGGATGAGATGGTTAGATGGCATCACAGACTCAATGGACACGAGTTTGAGTAAACTCCGGGAGTTGGTGATGGACAGGGGGGCCTGGCATGCTGCAGTTCACGGGGTCACAAAGAGTCGGACATGACTGAGTAACTGAACTGAACTGAACTACCTGAATTGTAGGAGAACCAAGCTCAATCCCTGAGTCGGGAAGATCACCGGGAGAAGGGAATGGCTACCCACTCCAGTATTGTTGCCTGGGAAAATCCTATGGACAGGGGAGCCTGGCAGGTTACAGTCTATGGGTCGCAGAGTTGGACATGACTGAGCGACTATTGCACACATAGCTTTAAATATACTAATGTTTATGTAATAATAAACTATGTATTGTTGATTTTACTATACATTAAATCCATATGACTTTTGTTTGTCTACCCACGTTTTGCCTAATCTTCAGTTCCCACATTGTCTCGCCTTCTCCGTGCAGCCTTCTTTACTGATCGCAGCATTTATTGCCTCTGCAGTGTACCCTGCCACTCTTGCCAGCCTTTACTGGCTGCTGTTCTGTCTTTATCTCTTGTAGTAAATAGGGAGTCTTGAAAACAAGGACTCCGTTGCACTTTCCACTGAGGATCTCAATCTATTCAAGGAAAATAGTAAGTTCTTAAGGAGTCAAGTTGAGCACTTTAGTATGGAATTTCACTTTTAGGGAGTAGTCTTCTGTGCTAACATGATATGATTCCCATTTTGACAGATGGCAAAATTGAGGCTTCAAGAAGTTTAGTGCACAGTCATGATTGAGACTGGCCTCCCTGACTCCTGAGACCACCTCAGCACTCTTACCACCCCAGCTGCCTTTCACTGCTCCATGGTATGCATGACTAAAGCACATTTAATCTTTATGAATAATTTTTGAGACCCATGTTCAGGACTGTCCGTGATCTGTATCATTGAGGTAAGATAAATGGCATCTACTGGAAGGTCAGCTGCTGAGTATATTGGGTTAAAGGAGCTAAGGAAGTAAATCACTCAGTAAGTGAACTTCAAAAGGCCAAGGTATTAAACTCCAAGTCAACCAGGATTTAATTTACTTGTTACTGAGGCAAATTCCATTTTTACTGCACGCTGATAAAAGCCTGAGCTCTGTTGCCAAGATTCAAAAGAAATCTTAGTGGTCATTTTACCCTCCGTTGGTAAGAAAATGGAGACTGTCAAATTCAGGAAGCCTAGAAGAAAGAGAATAAAGGAGAATGCAGAGCACTTCTCCCCTCCCTTGGTCTGTCAACTCTCTTTTCAGAACAGATGGAATCACCTCATCTTCCTCATCTGGATCTTGGTGCTCTGGGAACAGAGATCTCTTCCTGTGGCCAGCATCCCCTTTGGATAGCCAGTTACTTTGGGCTAGAAGGTGGAAAACTCAGCATTTCTGCAGATGTCAAGCTCAATAGAGGAGCCCCTCTGCCTCTCTAGAGCCCTCAATCCCTTACCTTTCTCATCCCAGACTTCTCTTGCTTGTTCTCTTTAACTAGCAAGGCCACTATCAACTACACATGTGTCCAGTTCACTTAGACTAGAAGTCACTCAGAAAGCTTCTTTTCCTCCTGGAATTCCCTATTCAGCTCTCAGAATCAGGCCCTATTCCATGCTGGCTCCAACATCTCATGTAAAGACTACTTGTTTCAGGAAGGATGCCAGGCTTGGATTCATCTGGATGCCCTCATTCCAGGTTTCCACCCCAGTTCAGGACAATTACAAAGAGCTATGTACATGGGATCTACTTGGCACAGGGAAAGGGCTCCAGTTGGAGGAGTCAGTGGACTAGGGATCTAACCTTACTCTTACAGGTGCTGGAAGTGTAGCTTTAGGCCAGTCTCTTGACATCACTAGGCTCAGTCTTTCTTATCTACAAATATGATAAGAGTGCCTACCTTACTGACCTCTTCCAGCAGTTTGTGATATTCAAGAGGGTTGATATGTTCATTCATTGAATAAACTCTTATTGAGCAGGTATTATCTGCTAGATCCTACGGATACAGCTGTGGATAATAGGAGCTCAGTTCTCTCTTTCTTTTTTTAAAATTTATTTTATTTATTATTTATTTTTCTCTGTGCTGGCTCGTCATTGCTGCGTGCAGCCTTTCTCTAGCTGTGGGAAGTGAGGGCTACTCTTAGTTGTGGTGAGTGGGGGCTATACTTTGTTGCAGGGCATGGGTTTCTCGTCGCAGTGGCTTCTCTTGCTGTAGAATGAGAAGAATGGTGACATGTCAGAAGAAGAGCATGGAGGATGGGATGTATTCTTGCAGCCATTTTTTTTGGTTATTTTTTGTTTTATTTGGTCATACCGTGTGGCATGTGGGATCTTAATTCCCTGGCCAGGAATTGAACCTGTACCCTATGCAGTGTAAGCACAGAGTATTAACCACTGGACTGCCAGGGAAGTCCCATGACAGCCATTTTTGGAAAGTACAGCTTGGTCCGTTGTGATAACATGTAAATGCTCCGGTGAGGGCTGGCCAAATGGGAAATGGTCAGCCAGTGTTAACTGTTTGCTGTTAGGTGCTTTGATGGAAAATCATGTGATTTCTGATGTCTCTTAGAAAGTCCAAAACGTTATGCAAATGTGAGGGATTGGTCTTTTTATTCTGTATTCCATGGTACCTTTTATTTCCCTTTAAGGCCATTTTAGCTTCAAGTTTCCCAAAAGCAGAGACCATACCATCTTAGCTTTGCTGGATTATTTCACGCTTTGATTTGTTACCAGAAAATATGAGCTCCCTTATTGATTGTATAGATGAGATATAAAGGAGATGGAAGATTGGCCTGTGAGAATGAAACTAGAAAATCAACACTTAATGGATGCAGTCGTGGGTGTATTTTATGTATTTAGTTATTATGCTGCTGCTTAGTTGCTCATTCATGGCCAATTCTTTGTGACCCAATGGGCTATAGCCTGCTGGGCTCCTCTGTCCATGGGATTTTCCCAGGCAAGAATACTGGAGTGGGTTGCCATTTCCTTTTCCAGGGGATCTTCCTGACGCAGTGATTGAAACCCTTTTACTTGGCAGGTCTCCTGCTTGGCACGTGGATTTTTTACCACTGAGCTATTTTTAGTTATTTATATATGTATACATATACATATATATTATATATAAATATATACATATTGCAAACCACCCCAAACCCAATGGCATAGAAGAATGGTCATTTGTTCAGAATTTTAGGCAGGCAGGAATTTGGGTAGGGCTTCGCTAGGACACCCATCTTTGCTTTATCTGGTGTCAGCCACGGCATCTTAAGAATCAAGATGGCCTCACTCACATGTCTGGGTCCTGGCTGTCCACTGGGGCACCTTGGTTCTTTCCTATGTGGCTTCTTATCCTCCAGGGTCTCTTTCTCACTGTATGACCTCCCCAACAGGTTAGCTCAGATTTCTTTCCATGGAAACTGTTTCCTAGAAATTAAAAATGGAAGTAAAAAATATGGCATATGACAGCAGTGGGCATCTGGACCCCCACCAGTTACCAGGCACTGTTCTAACAGCTTTATGTGGACCATTATGCAGGTGGGCAAACTGAGGCAGAGTTTAAATATTAATAACTTGCCTGGAGTTGTGCAGATCATTCATGTGCCCAGAGCCATGCCTGTGGGTCATTCCTTGTGCTCTACTGCTATTTTTTTTATTTTAATTTAAAAAATTATTTATTTTTTAATTGAAGGATAATTGCTTTACAGAATTTTGTTGTTTTCTGTCAAACATCAACAAATTTTTATTTTTTTAAATTATGAAAGTAATTTAAAAATGCTTCTAACACATTTATGGGAGACTTGGAAAATACAGAACAAGATTATATATAGTTTCACTATATACTACAATTATTTAAATAGATAAATTAAGCTTTTTAGTTGGAGTTTCAATATCAAACTCTCAAAAATTAATGGAATAAATATACAGAGAAGTAGAAGGATATAGTAGACTTGAAAAGCACTGTGAACCAATTCAATATAATTAAGATTTATATAATTTTCATACAACAGTAGGATACAAATCCTATTCAAGTTCCCATAGACTGTAAAGGAAACTAGGAGACATAAACTAGGAGACACTGGAACATACTCAGGGACATAAAACAAGGTACAAAAATTTCATCATCTAAAGGTATTGAAATCATACAGAATCTGTTCTCTTATCACTGTGGAATTATGTTAGAAATCAATATCTAAAGATATTTGAAAATAACCCACACATTTTAAAGTACAGTGTGACACTTACCAAGAGAGATCTTCAACTTAGCCAATAAGTTGGCTCAATAAAGTTACACTGAAAAAAACACAGAGGGTGTTGGCAAAGAAAGCATTTAAATGAGAAATTAGTATCAAAATGAGAAATTAATATTAAAGATACTTTAAACAAAATTTCATGTACTTGGAAATTAAATGTCCACTTTTAAATGATGAGTGTATCTAAGAAGCCATAACAAGGAAAATTAAAAAATATTTGTAAAAGAATAAAAACGAAAAGAGAATTTACCAGAATTTGTTGCATGCAGCTGAAGCCGCTCAAGGCAGTGAAACACAACATGGAGTCCTGAATAAGGTATGAAAACAAATAATGGACACTAGCATAAAATTTTGTGAAATTTGAACAAAGTCTGTACTTTATCTACTGTAATTTCTTAAATTTCTGACAAGGCTCACAGATTGGGCCAGAATAGTCAAAATAATGTGGATAACAGCAATTAAACTAACCGACTATTGAGTGGCTACTTCCAGCACAAGGGGCTTTCCGAAGTTTCTTTACTTCACTGACTCCTCCTTTCCACCCCAGAGCCCCACAAGCTAGCTCTTACTCTCCTTATTTTGTAGACAAAAAAACAGACACAGAGAGGTCAAATTATTTGGATAATTTGCCCAGGCAAGATTTAATGGTAGCGGTAGTTGGTTAATTTGCATTAACCAACCTGGAGAAAGGGTGTGTGGATGGCAGGGGTGAGGGGACAGAGCCTCCAGAACTGCCTGTGGGGAGCGGCCTTCATCTACTACGGGCATCTTGGCCCTGGGCAGGGGGTGGCCTGGGCTGGCAAGAGCCCATTGCTGTCCTCTGCCGGGTCACTCCCTGCAGTCACTGCCTCCTTTGCTGTGGCTCCTTGCTCACCACACGGCCTTCTTCCTGTAACTCACCTTCCTGCACTGGGTGCCTGCAGGGAAAAGGGGCGCCGGCACATAGAGGCAGGGGTTCCAGTCTGCTGGGCGCTTACTCAGGACTCGAATACTTGCCATTGCCTTTGCCTGAAACGCCTCTGATCTTGGCTCTAAGGAGGTGGCCTTACTTTAGCTAAATGGCCCTTCTTCCTCATATTCCCCACACCTAACCCTGGTGTTTATCATTCTCTGTTGGCTATTTACAGATTAAAAAAATTAACAGGGACTTTCCTGGTTGTCCAGTGGTTAAGACTGCACTTCCACAGCATGGGGCATGGGTTCAATCCTTGGTCAGGGAACTAGAATCCCTTGTACCACACAGAGCAGCAGTCCCCCACCAGAAAAAATTAACAGACTCTTGTTTACAGCAGTTTGGGGTTCAAAGCTAAGTGGAACTGAAGCTATGGAACATCCCCACATAGCCCTCGCTTCCTGCCCCTCCCATATGCACCAGTGTGACACATTTATTTCCTCAGTATTGACCAAAGTCCATAATTTACATAAGCAGACACTCTTTTTGTTGTACATTTTATGGGTTTTGACAAATTTGTAATGGCATATAGCCAATGGTATAGGATCATTCAGAGTAGTTTTATTGCCCTAAAAATTCTCTGTGCTCTGCCTGTTTTTCCCTGCTTCCCCCAGACTCCTGGCAACTTTTGACCTTTTTACTACAGCCATAGTTTTGCGTCTTCAGAATGTCATGTAGTTGGAATCATACAATATGTAGCCTTTTCAGATGGGCTTCTTTCACTTAGTAATATGCATTTAACTCTCCTCCGTGTCTTTGCATGACTTAATGCGTTTCTTTTTATTGCTGAATAATACTCTATTGTCTGGATGTACCACAGTTTATTTATCCACTCCCCTTCAGAAGAACATCTTAGTTGCTTCCAAGTTTGGGCAGTTATGAATAAAGCTGCTGTAAATTTTAGGTGCAGGCTTTTGTGTGGACCTAAGTTTTCCACTCCTTCTTTGCCTGAAACGCCTCTGATCTTGGCTCTAAGGAGGTGGCCTTACTTTAGCTAAATGGCCCTTCTTCCTCATATTCCCCACACCTAACCCTGGTGTTTATCATTCTCTGTTGGCTATTTACAGATTAAAAAAATTAACAGGGACTTTCCTGGTTGTCCAGTGGTTAAGACTGCACTTCCACAGCATGGGGCATGGGTTCAATCCTTGGTCAGGGAACTAGAATCCCTTGTACCACACAGAGCAGCAGTCCCCCACCAGAAAAAATTAACAGACTCTTGTTTACAGCAGTTTGGGGTTCAAAGCTAAGTGGAACTGAAGCTATGGAACATCCCCACATAGCCCTCGCTTCCTGCCCCTCCCATATGCACCAGTGTGACACATTTATTTCCTCAGTATTGACCAAAGTCCATAATTTACATAAGCAGACACTCTTTTTGTTGTACATTTTATGGGTTTTGACAAATTTGTAATGGCATATAGCCAATGGTATAGGATCATTCAGAGTAGTTTTATTGCCCTAAAAATTCTCTGTGCTCTGCCTGTTTTTCCCTGCTTCCCCCAGACTCCTGGCAACTTTTGACCTTTTTACTACAGCCATAGTTTTGCGTCTTCAGAATGTCATGTAGTTGGAATCATACAATATGTAGCCTTTTCAGATGGGCTTCTTTCACTTAGTAATATGCATTTAACTCTCCTCCGTGTCTTTGCATGACTTAATGCGTTTCTTTTTATTGCTGAATAATACTCTATTATTTGGATGTACCACAGTTTATTTATCCACTCCCCTTCAGAAGAACATCTTAGTTGCTTCCAAGTTTGGGCAGTTATGAATAAAGCTGCTGTAAATTTTGGGTGCAGGCTTTTGTGTGGACCTAAGTTTTCCACTCCTTCGGGTGTGTCTAAGAGCATGTCTAAGAGCGTGTTTAGTTTTGTCAGAAACTGGCAAACTGTCTTCCAGAGTGGCTGTTCCATTTTATAATCCCCATCAGCAATGAATGTGAGTTCCTGTTGATCCAGGTCCTCACCAGCACCTAGTGTTGTTATTATTTCTGATTTTGTCCATTCTTAATAGTGGTGTAGAGGTATCTCATTGCTGTTTTAACTCACAGTTCCCTAATGACAGGTGATGTTGGGCCTCTTTTCATAAGCTTATTTTCCATCTGCATTTTCTGTGGTGAGGTATCTATTTGTTCAGATTTTTCCTCCAGGTTTTAATCGTGTTCATTTTCTTATTACTGAATTTTAAGAGTCCTTTTTTAACATTTTAGTTAACATTCCTTTTCGGAAATATCTTTTGTAAATATTTTCTCCCAGTCTGTGGCTTATTTTCTGATTCTCTGGATAGATAAATTTTTTTTTTCTCCCCAACTAAAATATATGTTCTATTAGATTAGAGACTTTTATTTATAGGTAATCATTAAATATTATAAATAAGGGAAAAAAGAAGAATGAATTAGCATTTTGGTCTGTGTATCAGTGTTTTATTACTCTGGTTGAAGTTAATCTACCCCTAAAAGAGAATTCTCCTCAACCTGTTGACATCAAGTTTTGGATCCTGATGAGGGAGAGTCTCAGACCTTGGGAAATTCATCAAGGTTTGCTATGGCCTTGGAAACCCTCCTGGGCACCAGCTGGCCTCTTCCCTTGGCATGACCCTCTTTCTTGTTATACAGCTTCTTTCTATCATCAGCAGATTGTCTATCTTATGGATGATGATGGGTTTTCAAAACTGAGACCCTCTCCCAATTATTTTGCCTTCTACAAAGGAGTGCATAGTTATGTCCAGTTTTGCCAGTCCTGTGTCAAAGAGTTCGTAAGGTCCTGCCCCAAAGGGACCACCAGCACTGTTGTGGGGTTGTTTGTATGTAGCTCATTTGCCACTGGCCACTTTACTCTCCCCAGTTTCTTTTCTTTTTAAAAAAAAAATTTTATATATTTATTATGGCTCTGCTGGGTCTTCATTGCTGTGTAAACTTTCCTCTAGTTGCAGCTAGTTGGGGCTACTCTCATGCTGCACGGGCTTCTCATTGCAGTGGCTTCTCTTGTCGCAATGCACAGGCTCTAAGGCGAGCAGGCTTCAGTAGTTGCAGCATATGTGTTCAGTAGTTAGTAGTTCAGTAGTTATGGTTCATGGGCTCAGTTGCTCCAAGGCATGTGGGATCTTCCCGGATCAGGGATCAAACCCATGTCTCCTGCATTGGCAGGCGAATTCTTTACCACTGAGCCACCAGGGAAGCCCTCTCTCCAGTTTCTGCCCTTTCACTCCAGCAGCCACTGGACCCTGCTGGGCTGTGGGAGTGGACCTGGACCTAGAATTTGTGTTGCTATATCACCTTTCCAGAAATAAGTGTTCAAGATATTATGTGCTAATCTCCTCGCAACCCTTGCTGTCTTTGGAGCTGGGAAAAGGTAGATGGAAACAGATGGATATGGTGATAACATTAATAATAGCTAATTTTTTGAGCACTTAACATGTGCTGAGTCCCATGCTGAGTATATAATAAATATTATCTAATGTAATCATCAGAAACTCGATCACACAGGCATGTGTGTGCTTAGTCACTCAGTCGTGTCTGAGTCTCTGTGACCCCATGGACTGTAGCCCATCAGGCTCCTCTGTCCATGGGGATTCTCCAGGCATGGAGAAAACCCAGGGGATTCAAACTCAGGTCTCCTGCATTGCAGGCAGATTCTTCCATCTGAGTGACCAGGGAAGCTCACTTATTGCTATTATCATCCCCATGTTTCAGGTGACCAAACTGAGCCACAGAGAGGGTAAGTACCTTTGCCAAGGTCATTCAACAAGCAAATGGCCAAGCCAGGATTTAAGCTCAGACCCCGTGCCGTGCTTTTGAATACCACACCATAGCCCTCTTGCCTGCTGGAAAAAGTATCTTCCTCACAACTCTGCAGAGAACACAAAATTGGCCTTTTGCACCTGTGATTCTGGCTGCCCTGCCTGAACCCTGGAGACTTCCCCAGGGGCACCCCCAGTTCTGGCATCCTCTTCTCTCCAGACTCTGCTGCTCCCCATGGAGCCTCCGTCCTCCCCCAGAAACTTGCAGCTTCGAGGCAAAGGTGCCCTAATCTCCCCCTCCAGTCTTCCTGGAGCTCTTATTAGCAGTACCTTCTCATAATCCATTCAAGGAGACCTTGCGGGTTCCAAACTACAGCATTTAAAATAGTTCACTGCCTCATAAACAGCACTCCGCAAGGACGCTGCAGGCCTGTGTTGGTTGAGACACTCAGTTCCTGTGTTTTCAGGTTTGGCTTTACCTTTCTCAGCTGTGGTTACTTTCTTATTCCGGGCAGGCTGACTTTTGTCAGGGCAAGGTTGATGTGGGGGCTGGCAGAGTGTCCCTCCTGTATTCTCGTGTGATGAGGCACCAGAGGGATGTTCTTCTTCTCTCCTTCGTTCTGAGTGAGCAGGGTTTATCCAAGGGGATAAAAGACTGGAGAGGGGGCAGGAGAAAGGACTAGGAGACCTACAGAATACAAAAGTCACATCCTGAGGGTCCTCCACTAGAATGTTTCCCGGGAGATCAGGAGTGGCTAACCATGTACATTAACCTCGCATCCTCTGATGTCCCCACCACAAATGAGAAAGTGGAGCCTAGGGAGTGACTGTCTTCAGTTATTATACAGCTAACAAGTGGATCCACTGAAGATGGTTCAAACAAAGAGATCTCACTTCATAAGGCGAGGGCAAGGTTAAGACTGATAAGGCACCTAGACAGGAGCAACCACAAGATGTTCTGAACACCTACAAGCCTAAAAGATCAAGGAGTGGAAAGAGTGGGACCAGAGATGGGTGAGAACTGGACCCATGGAGGTCGACCTAGAATCACAGAGGGACCCAGCCACTGCCAGGACCAGGATTCAAAGCAAGGAAGGAACAAGGAAGAAATACCCCGACTCTCATTTCTCCTGATCTCCCGTCTGTCCGGAGGCTCCCATTGGCCAAACCCATCCAGACCCCAGATGATGCAGCCTAAAGGGGTCAGTCATCCAGGCACACAGCAGGATGGAGGAGGAGGGGACAAGTGTCTGCATATGTGCAAATGGAGTGCAACCAGCATAGCAGTGCAGCTGGATTTTGAGTCATGAGCTCTTAAGAGCCCTTGTCCTTTGCTGTGGTTCTTCGCTGTGGCTGAGATGCCCCTCCACCATGCAGCACTGGATGGATGCACTGGCCTGACTCACCTCTTTATTAATTAGAATTATTCTTCTCCCACTTTTCCCTTCCTCCTTCCCCTTGTAGGAAGGAACCTGTCCCAGAGAATGAAATTGCCTGGGTCCAGGCTTTTGGCCAGCTGGATCCCACCACAGCCCTGACTGCTGATTTCATGGGTTTTTTGTTTACTTGTTTTTTTGGATTTATGCTTATATGGCTTGGTGATGGATCCTGGAGAATTGCCTCCAATTTCTAATCGGCCATCTTCCCTTCTCACCCTCCACATGCACCAGCTCAGTATTTCCTCCAAAGTCTTGCATTTCTCTAGATTTTACTGCCTTTACTATGAGTGGTCAGCCGATGGCATTACCACTGCCCTGTTGCTGTTCTTCTGGGCAGGGACTAAAGCCTGGTGAGTGCTCTGATCGCCCAGACCAGAGAGAAGCTGAAGCAGTGATGACTGTCTTGGGTGGTACCCCAAGATCTAGTGCAAGATATGAGGGGTGTAAAACACAAGGGGTGGTTGACTGGAAAGCATTGGAACACTGAAAGGTAATCCCTCTGATATGTAAGAAAGCCACTGTCAGGGCAAGAGGGACGGAGAAAAGTTTGTCTTCTACTGTGTCTAATGTGATACCAACAAGGTGCCTGTCTTTTTCTTGCAGCTTCTAGACCTGCTAAACCTGGCTGGTCAGATGTTTGTCCTAAAACACCACTCTTTGAGGCAGTGGGACTTCTGGATATCCCTGTCAGACCTGAATTCTTGACTTCTCACAGAGTCCCCTCCACACACCCACCTGGATGCTGATCTCCAGTGTCTGTCTGTCTTGCATTTCAATCATCAGCTTTACAAAGGATGATTATGACAGTGATGATCCCAACATTTCCCACACTTGAGCTGCTGTTCCAAGTACTTTATAAATTTCACAGCACTGTTATTATCCCCATTCCCAGGTGAGGATAGCAGGCTTTAGCGAGATCACATGATTTGGCCAAGATCATAGCTCAGTTGGTAAAGAATCTGCCTGCAATGCAGGAGACCCTGGTTTGATTTCTGGTCAGAAAGATATGCTGGAGAAAGAATAGGCTACCCACTCCAGTATTCTTGGGCTTCCCTTGTAGCTCAGCTGGTAAAGAGTCCACCTGCAACGTGGGAGACCGGGGTTCAATCCCTGGGTTGGGAAGATCCCCTGGAGAAGGGAAAGGCTACCCACTCCAGTATTCTGGCTGGAGAATTCCATGGACTGTACAGTCCATGGGGTCACAAAGAGTTGGACACGACTGAGCGACTTTCACTTCACTTCACTTCACTTCATACACTAGTAAGTCTTATGTAGATCCTGAATTCAAGCCTAGAGAAGCCTCCAGGGCCCACATCTAGTTATGACCCTGTATTGCCTATTGATGACAGAGGGTGGGTTTTTCTTTCTTCCATCTGCTTTGTAAAGGCTTTATTAAATTATAATTGATATACAATTAAGTATACATATTTAACAATAAAAACTGATGAGTCCTGACATATGTATACAGCCATGAAACCATTGCTATAATCAAGATAGTGAATATGTCTATCACTTCCCGAAGCATCCTATTCTCCTTTATAATCCACCCCTCACTACCCCCAACCTTGTTCCTAGGCAACCAATTGTCTGCTTTCCATCTGTATAGATTAATTTGCATTTTCTAGAATTTTATATATGGAAACAGACAGCATGTTGTTTTTTTCTTTTTTTTTTTGGTCTGACTTCTTTCAGCATAATTATCTTGAGGTTCATCCATGTTATTGCACATGTCAAATTCTTCTTATTGCTGAATAGTGTTCCCCTCTACACTATACTATATTTGTTCATCCATTTGCCTCTTGATGGACACTTGAAGCTTCCAATTTTTGAGGATTAGAAATAAAACTACTAAGAAAACTCAGGTACAAGTCTTTTGTGGACATATGCTTGTATTTCCCCAGGGTAAGTACCTAGAGGTTGAATGGCTAGATATAGTAGATATATATTTAATATTATAAGGTATGGCCAAACTATTTTCCAAAGCACTTGTGCTGCTTTATATCCCTCCCAGCGGTGCATAAGGAGTTCTAGTTGCTCCACTTTCTTGCCAACATTTGGTATAGCTTGTTTTTTTAATTTTAGCCATTCTAGTAGGTATATAGTTTCTCACTGTGGTTTTAATTTACATTTTCCTGATGACTAGTTATATTAGGCATCTTTTCAGGTCTTATTTGCCGTCTGTTTATCTATTTTAGTGATATGTCCTTTCAGATGTTTTGCTTATTTTAAAAATGATTGGATTGTTTGTCATCTTATTGAGTTGCAAATGTTCTTTATATATTCTAGAACATGCCCTTTGTCAGATAAGGTTTTGCTACTTTTCATATGCAACATTTTCATTTTTATAACAGTCTCTTTTAAAGACTGAAAGTTTTATTTTTTATTTTTCATGGAAGTATAGTTAATCAACTATTCACTCCAGTATTCTTGCCTGGAGAATTCCATGGACAGAGAATCCTGGTGGGCTACGAGTTTGTGGGGTCACAGAGGGCAGACACGACTGAGTGACTAACACATACATAGTTGATTAACAATGTTGTTAATTTCTAGTGTACAGCAAAGTGATTCAGTTATACATATATCCATTCTTTTTCATATTCTTTTCCATTATAGTTTATTCTGAGATATTGAATATAGTTCCCTGTGTTATACAGTAGGACCTTGTTGTCCATCTATTTTATATCTAGTACATTGTATCTGCTAATCCCAAACTCCTGATTTATCCCTCTCCCACCCCATTTCCCCTTGGTAATCGTAAACTTGTTTTCTATGTCTGTGAGTCTGTTTCTGCGTTGTAAATAAGTTCATTTGTATCATGTTTTATATCCCACATGTAAGTGATATTATATGATATTTGCCTTTCTCTATCTGGCTTACTTCACAGAGTGTGATAATCTCTAGGTCCATCCATGTGCTGCAAATAGCATTATTTAATTAATTTTTGTGACTAATATTCCATTGTATATATGTGCCATATCTTCCTTATCCATTCATCTGTGGATGTACATTTAGGTTGCTTCTATGTCTTGGCTATTGTTAATCGTACTGCAATGAACATTGGGGTGCATATATCTTTTTGAGTTATGATTTTCTCTGGATGTATGTCCAGGAGTGGGATTATTGAATCATACAGTAGTTCTATTTTTAGTTTTTTAAGGAACCTCCATAGTGACTGTATCAGTTTACATTCCCATCAGCATGTAGGAGGGTTCCCTTTCAAAGAACAAAAGTTTTGAATTTTTTTTCACACTTTGTGGGGTTTTTTCCCTCTGGCAATTATCTGAAGAGGAGCTATCTCTTTTGTTATTATGATTATTGTGGTAAAATATATACATAACACTAAAGTTCCTATTTTAACTAATTTTAAGTATACAGTTCAGTGGCATTAAGTACATAACACTGTTATAGTTTGAATTTTTTTCAATCCTTTTAAAGAATTTTTGGCAAACTCAAGGTCACTAAGATTTCCTCCTGTGTTTTCTCTGAAAGATTTCACAGCTTTAGTCCTTACAGATCAATCTGAAGTTAAATTGTATGTATGAAATGGTCAAGGTTCATTTTTGTATAGGGTTAAACACTTGTTCCTACACCATTTATTGAAAAAACAATCCTTTTTTCATTGAATTACATGGACATTTTTGTCAAAAATCAATCGTTTGTTTTTGACTATTTTCCTGGTTTGTTTTTCACTCTAATTCTGGACAAGGTGCCATCTGATTTTCACGTACTATCTTCCTGTATAGACTCCCTCACTTGTCACTCTGCACTGATCTGGCTCTGACCTTCCCTCCATACTGCTTGATAGATGTCTAGTGGTATTTTCCAGATATGACCTAATTCTTGCCTACCCCCTAAACTGCAGTCAGCTTTGCTGCAGCCTCTGTTGTCTGGGCTTAGTGCCCAGCACCTGGGTCCTGCTGTTGCCCACAGTCCTGGCACCATCAGAGTCCTGGAGGGTGAGGGCTGCAGATGGGCCCAGCTCAGGGCCCAGAGAGCGGTAGGTAGCACAGCAGGCTTTCCCAGCCAGTTATTCAGGAAACCCTGATATGGGAGCCTAGAGATCCAACCCTCATAGCAAAGCACAACTACCAGGTCTTCTCAAGACTTCCCTGGTCATTGCATGCATGCTTGCTAAGTCACTTCAGTTGTGTCCAATTCTTTGCAACCCTATGGACTGTAACATGTTTTATATCCCACATGTAAGTGATATTATATGATATTTGCCTTTCTCTATCTGGCTTACTTCACAGAGTGTGATAATCTCTAGGTCCATCCATGTGCTGCAAATAGCATTATTTAATTAATTTTTGTGACCAATATTCCATTGTATATATGTGCCATATCTTCCTTATCCATTCATCTGTGGATGTACATTTAGGTTGCTTCTATGTCTTGACTATTGTTAATCGTACTGCAATGAACATTGGGGTGCATATATCTTTTTGAGTTATGATTTTCTCTGGATGTATGTCCAGGAGTGGGATTGTTGAATCATACAGTAGTTCTATTTTTAGTTTTTTAAGGAACCTCCATAGTGACTGTATAAGTTTACATTCCCATCAGCATGTAGGAGGGTTCCCTTTCAAAGAACAAAAGTTTTGAATTTTTTTTCACACTTTGTGGGGTTTTTCCCTCTGGCAATTATCTGAAGAGGAGCTATTTCTTTTGTTATTATGATTATTGTGGTAAAATATATACATAACACTAAAGTTCCTATTTTAGCTAATTTTAAGTATACAGTTCAGTGGCATTAAGTACATAACACTGTTATAGTTTGAATTTTTTTCAATCCTTTTAAAGAATTTTTGGCAAACTCAAGGTCACTAAGATTTCCTCCTGTGTTTTCTCTGAAAGATTTCACAGCTTTAGTCCTTACAGATCAATCTGAAGTTAAATTGTATGTATGAAATGGTCAAGGTTCATTTTTGTATAGGGTTAAACACTTGTTCCTACACCATTTATTGAAAAAACAATCCTTTTTTCATTGAATTACATGGACATTTTTGTCAAAAATCAATCGTTTGTTTTTGACTATTTTCCTGGTTTGTTTTTCACTCTAATTCTGGACAAGGTGCCATCTGATTTTCACGTACTATCTTCCTGTATAGACTCCCTCACTTGTCACTCTGCACTGATCTGGCTCTGACCTTCCCTCCATACTGCTTGATAGATGTCTAGTGGTATTTTCCAGATATGACCTAATTCTTGCCTACCCCCTAAACTGCAGTCAGCTTTGCTGCAGCCTCTGTTGTCTGGGCTTAGTGCCCAGCACCTGGGTCCTGCTGTTGCCCACAGTCCTGGCACCATCAGAGTCCTGGAGGGTGAGGGCTGCAGATGGGCCCAGCTCAGGGCCCAGAGAGCGGTAGGTAGCACAGCAGGCTTTCCCAGCCAGTTATTCAGGAAACCCTGATATGGGAGCCTAGAGATCCAACCCTCATAGCAAAGCACAACTACCAGGTCTTCTCAAGACTTCCCTGGTCATTGCATGCATGCTTGCTAAGTCACTTCAGTTGTGTCCAATTCTTTGCAACCCTATGGACTGTAACCTAACAGACTCCTCTGTCTATGGGATTCTCCAGGCAAGAGTACCAAAGTGGGTTGCAATGCCCTCCTCCAGGGCATCTTCCAGACCCAGGCATTGAGCCTGCATCTCTTACATCTCCTGCAATGGTAGACAGGTTCTTTACCACTAGTGCCACCTGGGAAGCCCCCACTGGTCATTGAGGGCCCATTAAAACCAAAAATAAGATACTGCAGAAAAAAATATTGATGGATAAAACTGAACAAGGGGAATGCAGAGCCTTTCTATCACAAGGAAAGAAAACCTTATCAAACCTACCTATTCAAAGATAGCACTATGGAGCCCTTCTAACCTTATAAGGACCACAATGGTGATTTTTGTCTAATCAGCCCTCATGCCTGATGAACAAAACTGGGGAAAACCTTGGGGATGACTTCCCTACATTGTTTAGGCTTCTTTACTAACCTGGAAGACAGGGAGAGTGGCTTAAGTTTGTGGAGAGACATCACTCTGTATCCCTCAGGGTGGACCCAGGGGATGTTGATCTCAGCAGTGACTGTGCAGCTTGCCTCCCAGACTGTTCATGGAAGAGTCTGCAAGAGGGACTTCTGGAAGGGTTTTGTTTTGAATTCAGTTAAAAGGAGACACTGCACAGAACATCCAAATCAAAGGTAAGGCTTTATCATGTGGCAAAAACATTTTCCACAAGGAATAAAGAATCCCTGTTGTCAGCATATGTTCAGGGGAGCATTTGAGGGAGGCTGTATCTTAGCACAAATATCCCTCCATTCTTAACAGGCTGGAAAGGCAGACACCATGAATGAACATGTCTTGCATGGGCGCTGGGCTGAGTCATTTCTCCAGCCACTAGCCACGCTTAGACTCTTGCCTTTGTGTCTGGGAGGTGGTCAGATGCGAAGCAAGAGGTTTATTTTAGTGTTGTCCTACTTTGTTCATTCAGGGATGACCCCACTGACACCAAGTCCCAACCCAGGGGTGGGGACCACCTCTGGCAGGAAATCACATGGTCCACTTCCCTGGAAATGCACACAGCCTGCTTTGCTTGTGGACAGAGAGTAGCTGGATGTGATTGAGGTCATAGAATGAAGGAAGGAAGTAGGCATGAATTAGCATCACCATATACTCATTTGCCACCTGGCCGTGGGTCTTGTCCTGGAAAAATTAGACCAGTGGTCTTTTCCAGCTTGATTGTGAGCAGAGATAGATCAAAGAGGCTTATGCTGGAGGCTGACTCTGACATTCTGCGATGTTAGGGACTTTCATCTCTTCTCAGGATGTCACTTCCCCAACAATAAGTGCTGTGAGTACCAGCAGGGAGAGGCAACCTTCACTACTCTGGGAAGTGGTAAGGGTGAGAAAACTGATAGAAGAGTTTTTCACGGTAAGTAAAGTCTAATTAAAAATGAAGCATTTTATAAACAATATGATCATCAGGGGGTTAATATCCAAAATATAAACAGCTCATACAACTCAACATCAAAAAAAAAAAAAAACCAAACAGTCCAATTTAAAAAATGGGTAGAATACCTGAACAGACATCTCCCCAAAGAAAATATACAGATGGCCAGCAGACACATGAAAAGACGCTCAGCATCAGTAATCACCAGAAAAATGCAAATCAAAAGCACAATGATGTATCACCTTAAACCCATCAGAGTGACTATCATCAAAAAGACCACAAGTAACAAATGTTGGGGAAGATATGGATTAAAGGGAACTTGTACACTGTTGGTGGGAATGTCAGTTGGTACAGCCACTGTGGAAAACAGTATGGTGGTTCATCAAAAAACTAAAAATAGAACTACTGTATGATCCAGAAGTTCCAATCCTGGATATATATCCAAAGAAAATGAAAACATGAATTCAAAAGATATTTTCATCCCAGTGTTGAAAAGATATATGCTTCCCAGTGTTTATTTACAAGGGCCAAGATATGAAAGCAATCTAAGTGTCCATCAATGGCTGAATGGATAAGGAGGATGTGGTACACCACACACACACACACACACACACACACACACACACACACACAATGGATTACTGCTCAACCATTAAAAAGAGTGAAAATTTGCCATTTGCAACAACATGGATAGACTTGGAGGAAAGTATGCTTAGTCAGGCAGAGAAAGACAAATACTATATAATATCACATGTGGAATCTAAAAGATAAAACTAGTAACAAAAAGACAAAAAAGAAACATACTCACAGATACAGAGAACAAACTAGTGGTTATCAGTGCAGAGAGAGAAGAGGCAAGGAGCAAGACAGGGGAAGGAGACTAAGAAGTACAAACTACTATGTGTAAAATAAATAAGCTACAAGAATATACTGCACAGCACGATGCATATAGCTAATAGTTTATAGTAACAATAAATGGATTATAATCTTTAAAAATGCTAAATCACTATGTTGTACACCTGAAACCTATATAATAATTGTAAATCAACTATACTGCAATAAAGCAAGCAAATAAAAGTATGAAAAACAGAAGCATTTTAGGACACACTTCCCTGTGTGCCCAAGTTTCTGACCAGACTCACTGGTAGGCAGATTAAACTGAGGCTTCTGTGTTTGAAATCAAATGATATTATAAGAAAAACACATCTTTGGAGTCAGATACATCTGGGTTTAAATCCTCGCCCCACAGCATATTCTGAGCGGGTTTGGGAGGTCACTTACCTTTGTTGTAACCTGTTAAGTGAAATAATACACAACTCCTTGGGTTGTCACTGAAGATAAACGGCAGGTCCTGCTTAAATCATCCATCTGCAATAGAATTAAGGAGTTTCAAAGGGAGTTTTCATAAGCCAATAGGGAACTTTCTGTACTTAAAAAAAAAAAATCTGGTTGAGTGGACATTAAAGAGGATGTCATAAAGAGCTCTCGAGAATCCTGTGTTTTCATTTTTGTTTTTGAGAAGCACCTTGAACGAGGGAGAAGGCAGTCTCTGAGTCTAGGGGAACATCTGTGGTGGTTGCTGGGGCAAGAGCAAAACCTCTCTCAGAGAAGTTTCTGGCCATTTCACTCCAGACTCACATCCTTCAACGTTGGGGACCCCAGTGTATGAATATATTAATACTGCATGATATTGTATTATATGCTGTCATATTTAATAGAATCGGCAATTCATCTTTTCATTCATAATCACTGTTTTGATTCCACAAGCAAAATATTGTTGGCCATGTAATAAAGTGGTACACTGAAGCCTTGTGGGTTTGATTTGATTGAAATACTGACACCATGCATAGAGACCATTTTAAACTATGTGGGCAAGGCTGGCCAGAACTGGTCAAGGACAGCTACTAACCTGGGGTCAGAGTGGACCACAAGTTGGACAAGCTAAAGGTGTGTGTCATCCCTTAGGGACCCTGAAAATTGCCAGAATTATTTGGTAGTAGGGACCTGAAGGTCTTCCAATGGGTTTGCAGCTGGGGCAGCTGTCTCTCAGGTGCCTGCCATGGGATAGATGAAAATATCCTGGTTGTCTGTTTTCATAACTTACAAGGTGGTTCCAGGAAGCAACCATCTTCAAGGGCAATTAGAAAGTTTGTAGATTTCTCCAGTGCTAGGCAGTACTGAAGCAAAGTGGAACATTTCCAAGAAAGGGTTCTGGGGAATTTGTGTAAGGCAATGTCTCCCTACCAGCCCTATTCCCCTAAGAACCCTGATCCCACAAAGGCCACACTTTTGGGCTTTAATTGGTTTAGAAAGATATATTTATACATTTATGCCCTTTTAATTCTGTTTGTTTCTCTTTTGATTTTAAAAGTATTGTTTCCTGGTGTATATATTTCAGTAGCCTTTGAGTTTTACTTATAGAAACAAATATAAAAAGTGATTGTTTACACATCTATCAAATGGCCAAAATCCAAAACACTAGCAACACGAAATGGCTGGTGAGGCTATGAGACAACAGGAACTCTCACTCATTGCTGATGACAGTGCAAAATGTTATAACCACTTTGGAAGACAGTTTGACAATTTCTTATGAAAGTAAACATACTGTTACCATATGATCTAGCAATTGCATGCCTTGGTATTTACTCAAAGGATTTGAAAGCTTATGTTTATGCAAAAAGCTGTACTTGATGCTTACATCAACTTTACTCATAATTGCCCAAATTTGGAAGCAACCAAGATGTCCTCCAGTATGTGAATAGATAAGCTAGCACATCATACAATGGAATATTGTTGTTGTTTAGTCACTTAGTTGTGTCCAACTGTTTGTGACTCCACAGACTGTAGCTTGCCAGGCTCCTCTGTCCAGGGAATTCTCCAGGCAAGAATACTGGAGTGGGTTGCCATTTCCTCCTCCAAGGGATCTTCCCAACCCAAGATCCAACCCCGTCTCCTGCTTGGCAGGCAGATTCTTTACTTCTGAGCCACCTGGGAAGCCCACAGTGAAATATTTTTCAGTACTAAAGAGAAATGGGCTCCCAGGCCATGAAGAGATATAGAGGAGCCTTAAATGCATATTACTAAGTGAAAGAAGCCCATCTGAAAAGGCTATATACTGTATAATTCCAACTATATGGCGTTCTGCAAAAGGCACAACTATGGAGAAAATAAAAAAGATCAATAGTTGCCAGGGATCAAGGAGGGAGGGATGATTAGGTGGAGCACAGAAAATTTTTAGGGCAATGAAGCTATTTCTGTATGATCCCATGGTGGTAGAAACATGCCATTGTATAATACATTTGTCTAAACCCATAGAATGTACAACACCAAGAATGATCTCTAATGTTAGCTGTCCACTTTGGGTGATAATGATGTGTCAATATACATTCACCAGTTGTGACATCTGTACCATTCTGGTGGTGGATGTTGATGATGGGGAAGGCTGTGCATGTGTGGGAGTATATGGGATATTTCCCTCTATACAACAATAGATGTATCCTCTCAATATTGCTGTGAGACTAAAACTGCTGTGAAAAATAGTCTATTTTTTTTAAGTGATTCTGGTTCTCATAGCTGCAGTCAGGAAAAAAAAAAAAAAAAAACCATCCACCCAAAGCTCTATGGTTTGTCAGAAAATCTGACAAACCTCCAGATTGAAAGTGGCAGTGAAGAGAAAGGAGGCTGAAGCACTAAGCTGCCCAGTTCACACCTATTTTGTGCCATACACTCTGCCAGGTGTTGATAGAGCAAAGAATAGACAAAAATCCTTCCCTTCATGGAGCTTACTTTCTAGCTCTCTTACATCTCCATGTGGGAGATGGCATGGGCAGGGGCCCTGAAGTGAGAGTGTTGTGCCTTGGGTATTGGAGCAACAGTGAGGATGTCTGTGTAGCGAGGGCAGGGGAGCCAGAATGGGGAGGAGCAGGGGAGGTGGGAGAGGGATGGGGCCGGACCATGTGAAGGTCATGGTTAGTGCTTTCACTTTACTCTGAGTGGCAGTGAGGGAGCTGTTGGGAGGACATGAGCAGAGGAGGGACGTGGTCCAGCCCACACTATCACAGCATCCCCCTGGCTGCTGCTTGGAGAACAGACTCTAGGGGCACAAGTGGAAGTGTGCTGCTGCTATAGTCTGGGCTGAAGACCTTGATGGCTGGACCAGAGTGGTGGCAATGATGGTGGTTAGCAGCATTGTTCCAGTTACAGACATGCTTTGAAGGTAGTGCTGGGAGGATTTGCTGACAGATGGACTCTGTGATACTGCCTGGTCCTAACTTGGTCTAAACTCTGTTTTCATTTAATGGCTAATACTGGACCTGCGGGGTCTTGGGACAGCAAGCATCAAATCCCATGCACACAAAGTTACAAATGGGGATTTTTCTGGAAGAATATGCAGACCACAAGGAAAAACTTTAGAACTGGGTTCTGAAAGGATGAGTCTGGGATCTGAGAACCCAGAATTAACCTTCAGGTAAGGCCCTGTTCAGAGGATGAATAGCTCTAGCAGTCTTGGTTCAGGATTCGGATTTCAGTGGAAGAGCAAGTAGGACTACACTGGGCCACGTGGTTAATGCTAGATAGAGCCACCAGATGGAGGGGTGGCTGGGGAGAGGGTAGGGAAAGGTACTTCACAAGAGTCAAATAAGGTGCTGAGATCAAGAGAAAGAAGAAGAAATGGGTACTGGGGAAAAAACCCACAGATACTTCTACTCAATTCCAGCATAGAGTTTAAGAGGTGAAGGAAACAGAGGCTCTGGTTTTGATTGACCAGGGAGTGGGCAGGGAAGGAAGTCAGCTGGCTCATTCTGGGTTAATTTGAGGAAAGAGTATGGCTGGGTCTGGCCTCTGCTGTTCACTGGCTGTGCTACTTCAGGCCAGGACTTAACCTCTCTGGCTCCAGGCTCCTGTGGACTAGAGGGAAAGCTGTAAACCTTGTCTTCATCAAAGACAGTCTTGATGATTTTTCCCCTCCTCCTTCCCCCAAACCTTTCACATTACTTCATGGCCTTATCTTGTGAAAGTGTGCAACGTGCATTAGGCTTCTTGAAACTTCCAGACTAGCTGAGGAGGGGGAATGTGGACATGATAATAAAGGGGGCTTGAAGCAGGGAGTGAATCGAACAGGCAAGGTCTGTTTCAGGGCACCACAGCAGCATTTCATAGGGAGAATTGAGAAATTTTCATAGTCTCTCCTGTTGTTCATTTTCCACCTCTAATGAGATGAAAGGAACTGGATCTCAGGTTTGATCCACCCAGCGCCTTCTAGGCTTCAGGATACTGTTGAATTCCTGACTGGGGGTGCCTTGCAGGCTCTAAATGTTAACACAGCAAATTGCACTGGCTTTCTCCCCCATCCACACTGAGCACTGCATTTGAAGTCCCTCCCCCCTCCTCCTCAGCACTTAAGCCCACTTACGTTTCATATCATCCTACTTAGCCCTTGATTACATATTGCCTTGAATTGTTCTCCAGTCCACTCCTATCAGAGCCTCCCACCTTTCAGCCTGCCCACTCCTACCTCCCAGTATGCTGGGTTTACAATCTCCTCAAAACCTACAGTCTCTTTCCCTTGCCACATTCCGTCATTGAATCAGAACCCTACCCCCGACTTCATTTCCTCCTGTATTTAGCCTAAGCTTCAGGAGCCATGTCATCAGGCTCCTTTGCCTGACCCGCCCTCTCCTCTGCGGGTCCTGCCGCCCCGTCTGGCTGTCCCCTAGCCTGCTCGGCCGGCTCTTTCTTTGCTGTGACGTCTGGGCTCCTGGGCTGCAGAGCTGTGCTGGAGAAAATCTGCAGCCCACGCAGATCGGCGCTAACAGAGTCACCTGCAGTCACCATGGGGCCGCCAAGCAGCCTGGAAACCCGCTTAAAGTCCCTGCCAGCAAATTTGTCCTTTCCCCACAGTGGTTCTTCTTAGCATTTCCCACTCCTTGAGCTTTGCTGAAAAAAACAGAGGCCATTAGGTAGGAATTCCCTCATTCTTGGGTCTCCCGCTCCCCGGTCCTGCTTCACCCTCCCTGCCTCCCTGCCTCTGAGAGGCTGTGGGACTCTCTTTCCTGGCCAAAGGGAACCCCTTCTAGAGCTCCTCAGCCTTGGTCCCGCCTTGGCGTCGTGGGTTCTCTCTCTCTCCTCTAGCTTCCTTTTCTCCGCTCATCTTGTCTTTCTCCTGAGCACGTAAATATATTCCCTCTCCATCATGTTAGACCTCCTTCCCAAGCCAGACTTCACGGTATGCTCAGTGAGGCTGTGCCCACCATGACCAAAAAAAGTGTGCAGGGGCCACAGTGTCAGGTCCATGGTCACTTTCAGTCCGTCTCCTTGACTGTGCTGAAGTTGAGACACTTTTGACTCCTTTCTCTTCTTGCGTCTCT